CATGTTCTCACCCAAAAAATAGCCCATCAACGAATTCATACCTACCTACATTTTAAATATCATTTCAGTACCAAAAATATAATTTTATTAGTAATTTTTGTTGTCAGGAATGGCAAAATGGATAAAAGCCCATAATTAATGAGGGTAGAATGGTCACCAAACAGTGGCTACCGGAGAAGAAGAACAGTGCACATTAGTAGAAGATGGTGCATGTTAGCAATGTCAAATCTGGCGGGTTTTTGCCATTTTTCGACGCTTTCAAAATCAATTCTGACACCACCCAGAGAATCCCCATCACCTCCTCTATAAAGCCCAAGCCTTCATTTGCCGTCATCACTCGCCATTTCCCACCAACACCTCCATTTGCATGGTCGACTCTTCAAGTCAGATTTCCAGTCGATTTCTTTGCTAGAAATTCACCCAAACACCACCATCACACTCCCCACAACCCAGTCTACAAAACTCTTACCTCCATCATCGTCCCTTGCTTGCCCATCACCGACCGTGAACCGCATGATGTTTCAACTTCCAAGCCGATTTCTAGTCATTTTTGGTGTCGAAAATCGTCTCTGCCACCACCAATAGACTTCTTGAATCTTCCTCTCTAAAAATCCCAACATTCTCGATCTTGTTTTCTCACCAATCGCTGGCGATTGAAGCTTCCCCACCTTAAGGTTTTTTGAGTTTTAATTGGATTAATTGGGTTTGATTTGTACCATTTTTGTGTTTGTTGGGTTGAAATACAATTGAGGAATGTTTGTTTATTGATTTTTTGGTCGCCGACACTCCCCAATGTTAGCGGCAATTGCCGGCAATGGAAAAGGTTGAGAAGAGAGGGGTTTTTTAGTAAATCACTTTGTTTCCCACCCCAAATAAGAGGATAACCTAATATTTGGGTAGTAAAGGGTGTTTAAAAAGTTTGAGGGTGGGAAAATGTCAATGGGCCATTTTTTGGGTGGTAACATGTCTTTAACTCAAAACAATTATACATAATATTAAATGTTATGAATGAGGTTACTTGCGATATGCCAAACACAAAGAGGCCACTCAAGTGATTAATCAATTCAATTCTATATCATTGTATGATATTTTACATTTAGAACCGTCCAAACTTGTCAACTCTATCATTTAGAAGAAGAGGAAGAAGATTCAAACAAAGTTTATATGACATATGGAAAACTACTCCACAACAAGTCTCTCACACCCACTTTGGATGGTCCATCAAAGGGCTATCTTCTGCTTCTTCATTCAATAAATGCAATGAGTACATCATATATGTGTATGTCTAATATTTCAACTCCAATTTATGAATGTGTGTAAATGTACTGCCTTTGGCTGGCATTCACTCATCTTTTCATATAAATGTTGAGTGTTGACATCATCCCAACCCAACCCCCAATTCAGGCTCACTTCCCAATGAACCTTTTCTTCTTACGTACTGCATTCCCTTTTTTTCTCTATTTCCTCACGACTTCATTTTATGATTCTATACAGCTCAATCTTCTGTAGAAATAGTTTCTTCTCAGACAGTAATGGAAGAGTGAGTCAAATTTCCTTATAGTAATTTCGTGTATTACAGCTTTGCAATTAAATGGACTTTTCAGTCTCTTTCTTTGATTTCTTCTTCCAGCTGGGAAAGACTGACCGTATCTTGTGCAATTAAAAATTATGTATATTTTTGGCCTGCAATACACGAATAAACATTGCATTTGAATAACCTCATCAATGTCAAATAGCCGACAATTGTAAGATCATCTTCGATTTTCTTTTAATTATCAAAACAAATACAAAAATTCTTGTTCCTTTATTCAATGACAAATCTCCATTTCCAAAGATAAACTTTTCTGTAAGAATTGCCTAATTATTTCTTTATCTCAACACGTCTTAGTCTTACATACATATCCCATCATATCAAATTTTCTGTCTGAGTGATGCAATTTGGTGCCAAGTGGGATCACACTATATCATTGTTGTCTATTAGATAAGATTCATAAGACTTAGAATGAAACCGAGCCCATTTTCTCACACCCCTCTAGTCTTCAAACGATGATTGGAGAAAGCAAGAATCATTACTCCTTGTGACTATCTCAACTATAAATGCAATACTACTTGTAGGAGGAGGAGAATTAAGTTGACAGAACAGGTTACTGAGAGAGGAGATAGAAGCCATGGGAGATGAGGTCAACAACACACAAATACCACCCGTTAAACCACACTTTGTGCTGGTGCATGGCATAAGTGGAGGAGCTTGGTGCTGGTACAAAATCAGAACCCTCATGGAGAATTCTGGCTACAAAGTTTCATGTATTGACCTCAAAAGCGCGGGAATTGATCCTTCTGATGCTAATTCTATTCTTTCTTTTGATGATTACAATAAACCCCTCATCGACTTCATGTCTGCCTTGCCGGATGATGAACAGGTTTGTTATATAATATATAGTTACATGCAAGATATATCTTAATTACTTTGTGATCATATTCGTGTGGTTCTTTTGAAGGTCATACTGGTTGGACACAGTGCCGGAGGCTTAAGCATAACACAGGCCACTCACAAGTTTGGAAAGAAAATCCGGTTGGCTGTGTATGTGGCAGCCACCATGCTGAAACTCGGATACTGGACAGATCAAGATGCCAAAGATGTAAACCAAATCCTTTTCATTTCTTTCCTTATATATAATTAAACTTCATTCCAGTGAAACCAGTTTGAGAATCTTACGGGATTATGATGCCTGGTTGCCAACTGTTTTCACAGAGAAATAGCCAGCCATGATCACTAATCGAAATGAAAAGAAAACAACTTGGCCTTTGGTTTAGCATTTAATGGAGATTAGAGTGGTGTTACTGTGTGGGATAATTCTGATAGAGTAGATAGAGTGTCAAATGTCAAACAAAAGCTTACCTAATCATAATGTGATATGAGGGTGTTACAGCCTGTGAAATTTCAAATTTTTTATTGCTATTTCTTTAATTTCACACTTGACTTGCATCCAAAGCATGCGTAGGATCAACTTGACCATTTTGAGGTTGAATTGTAGGGATAAGATGGTAGAAAGTTTCTTAATTGAATGTTGAAGGCAGGCAAAGAGCACAGAATTAAATGGATGATTGATGGTGTAGCAGTAAAGCTGCGGTTTGCAGTTCTCTCTTCAATTATTCAAAAGCATCAGTTGGTGCCATGCTATGTTATATTGAACTGTGCAATTTTTATCATTTTCTTTTACTTGTCAAGTCATAAATTGGAAGTTAGCTGACAATGTCATTGTCTTTGTTTCCAATAATTAATGTGCATTGTTTAATCTGCCCTCCAATGATTTTTAGATGGGCCAGCAAGATTATCACAGTAGATAGTAATTATGCTTTGCTAGCTAATGCCTAATGGTGGCTGTATGTGGCGCAGGGCGTCCCTGATTTATCTGAATTTGGTGATGTTTACGAGTTAGGATTTGGATTGGGAGGTGATCAACCTCCAACAAGTGCGATTGTGAAGAAAGAATTCCAGCGAAAAATCATCTATCAAAAGAGTCCTCTAGAGGTTTGTGGGCATACTTTCTGCAAATGCTTTATTTAGTGGTAACATACATACAACCCCACATGCCTAAAATGTCCGACTAATCTTTTCATTCTTTCCTGTTTCACTTTCACATTCCATAAAAGATGATATTATGTCAGATTCACACTGCCCATGTATTGCCAGCCACAGACATATTTTGCATTTGGCAATTCAAGAAAAAAGATAAAGACGAAGAAGAAGATACCATTACACATGGATGAGAAAAAGATAAAAATGAATGACTCATTCTCATATATCTTTATATTTGCGGATTTGTTAACATATTCAACTCATCATATAAACTTTGTTTTTATGGTTCACTTTGGTGCAGGATTCCACTCTAGCTGCCATGCTTTTGAAGCCAGGGCCTATTCTGGCATTACACTCTGCCAGGTTCAGCCAAGAGAAGGAGAATGTGGATAGTGTGCCTCGTGTTTACATCAAAACACTTGATGATAATGTAGTGAAACCAGAGCAACAAGATGCTATGATAAAGAGGTGGCCACCATCAAACGTTTATGTTTTGGAGAGTGACCACAGCCCATTTTTCTCCACCCCATTTCTGCTCTTTGGCTTGCTTATCAAAGCTGCTGCTTCTATTGGATATTGTATCTAGCTTTGCCTAGGATAAAAATAAATCTATGTCCATTGAATAAGTAGATTGATTTGATTTTTGATTTTTGTTTCAATGCAATTGAAACCATTGTTACCAAATTCTTTGTGTGACTTTTGAAGTGGCTTGATGTTTGACCATACAAATAAGCTCTAAATGAAGGGAAACCAAAAAAGCAAAGCTACTAAATTGAAAGGGGGCTCTACAACATTATTGAGGCATAACATTCGTGTGACGCTATTGTCCTTGTCACAAGTGGGGCTCCGCATCCAACTCACTCTCAAAAGACCAATTGAGTCTACTCTGATACTACTTGTCATAATCACATGAGGACGTCCTTTTATGTAGGTGTTTTTGTCATAAATCACATGTGGACGTCCTTCTATGTAGGCGTTTGGTGGGACATGACACCAAAAGACCGATTAGGTCTATTTTGATACCACTTGCGAGGGATTGAGAGTTTTACACTCAAAAAGTTAACCCATTAGGTAGAAAGACTCATTTTTATAAGCTAAGACCTTCTCAATTCACTTCTGATATGAGATCTGTGACACATTACTTTCATCACTACTCTCCGATGGAGGATACCCTTACCCATTAAGAATAGAGAGTAGTTTGTAAATTACCATGTTTTAAAATGTAGAGTGTAGACATCTTTATTTGAGGCTTCTTTTCATATCCTTATACATTTGTAACCCACAAAATTTAATAACAATAAAACAAATCAGATAACGTGGCTGAAAAACCCGGTCCGGTAGCTGTTGACGCGGATTGGGTGTGCCTAACCCATACGTAAAGCCGCCCCCATCCACATAATATAAAGAAAAAATAATAACACAGTTGAAGCAGACTGGCCGATGATAAAGTGCCACGTAAGCAGAGTGAGATTCGGAGGAGGAAGTTATTAGATTTAGGGAAAGCTTTATTTTGAGTTTGCGCTCGTAATAACTCCTCTCTCCGCCTTCGCCTGCTCTGTTCTCAGGTCAGTTTTTCGTTTTTTGGTTTTTGCTGTTGTATTCGCTTTTTAATTTTACATTCAGATCTAATCTTATTATTCTATTAATTTTTTGTGCTTCTACAATTTCAGCCCCTTTCAAAAGATTTAATTTTCTTTTTTCTCTCTACCTATTTAGGGAAATATGTTTGCTTCTTGGTTTGGTAATAAAATCTACAATGTTACCAATCCATTTGTTGTTCCTCAGTAAAGTTTCAAAATCAAATCTTGTCTTCATCCCAATTTTATTTCTAAGATTGTTAGTTTCCTTATAGGTGTTTTATAGCTTTTGTTTAGCTTCTTTTTATGTGATTATGATGTGGATTTGTGTTATTGAATGAAACTGACACCGCATTGTTCTCAACTGCAGCTTGTAAACCTCACCTTCATGAATTCAAGAAGTACTGTGGCATTCACTGTTTCCTGCAAATCGGGAAACAAGAACGGTTTCTTTCTCTCGATTTTGGTTTGCTTACCTCCGAGTTTCCTTGGAACTCCTTCTGCAATTGATAGCTTCCTATTATTTAAGCCTGTTGTCAGGTGTCCTTCAACACCACTTTGCTTCTCTCGAGAGATTCATCTATAGTGGTGAAGTTTTTCTTCTTCCTGATCTACTCTGCACTCCCCTGATTTTGATTTTGTGTAAGCAACATGGTTTCTTCTCAATTATCTAGCTTGCTTGGTGATTGCAAAAGGAAGCCCATCCAGAATGAGTTGCTTCTTCCAACGGGTCCACCTGATGCCCTTCCTGCTGAATATGTTGAGTTTGATTTTAATGATGTATTTGGCCCTGCTCCAGTGCAAGCATCACTTGAAGCTAATAATGAGATGTCTGCCAATGAATTACTATATGATGATCCAGTTGTGATCCATAGTCGTTCACATTCTTTGGTTGGCCCTTCCAGTTATGTTAGTCAATCATTGAAACTTGGCAAGCTGACCTTGCATGAGACAGAGGATTCCTTGGAACTTGTGGAGGGAATCAATGAAGTGACACAGAAAGAAATTGGCAATACGTCTGCTTGTGATGTTGTCCTGGAGAAACAGGCTTGCCACATAGATAATCTTCCTTCAGGAAACCAGTGTGTTGGACTTGAAGATTTTGAAGTCTTGAAGGTTGTTGGCCAAGGTGCTTTTGCAAAAGTGTATCAGGTGAGGAGGATTGGTACTTCAGAGATTTATGCAATGAAGGTCATGCGCAAAGACAAGATCGTGGAGAAAAATCATGCTGAATACATGAAATCTGAGCGGAACATATTAACAAAAGTGGATCACCCCTTCATTGTCCAGCTCAGATACTCATTCCAAGTAATCACTTACATCTATAATGCTTAAATGCTTATCCTTTAACATTGTGTTATTTCTTTGACAATTCTATGCACTGCGTTAGCTTCCTTACAATGATATTTTGTTTCAATTTAGTTGAAAATTTAATCATCTTGAGATTTCCTTCAGCAAGTAACTAGATTTCCATTGCCTTAGATATGGAGCTGCATATCAATATACAACATTAATATAAATCTGTCTGTTCTGCAGACCAAATATAGACTATACCTTGTACTTGATTTTGTCAATGGCGGTCACCTTTTCTTTCAGCTCTATCGCCAAGGCTTGTTCAGGTATGATGCTGTTGCTACTTTTTATTGTTGTGATTTGATGTGAAAGCCTTGGATTATGAGGCATACTAACAGTTGGCAATTTCTCTGTCCAGAGAGGATTTGGCTCGGATATATACAGCTGAAATTGTTTCTGCTGTTTCTCATCTCCATACAAATGGCATAATGCACCGGGATCTCAAACCTGAAAATATTCTCTTGGATGCAGATGGCCATGTAAGACCCTGAAACATTGTCTCTGAGCATGTGCATGAGCAAGTGCTAGCCCGTGTCCTGACTGCCTGCTTGTGCTTGTTTAACTTCGAATACGGTGATTGATTTTCAAGCCTGCCTGTTTTGACATGTTTTTTAATTTTTCATCCCAGGTAATGTTGACTGATTTTGGCCTGGCAAAGCAGTTTGAAGAGAATACGAGGTCAAACTCTATGTGTGGAACTTTAGAATATATGTCTCCTGAAATTGTCCTTGGGAAAGGCCATGATAAGGTTGCAGACTGGTGGAGTGTTGGAGTTCTGCTGTATGAAATGCTTACTGGGAAGGTCTGTATATCTTTCACTGCTGCTGATATTCATTTATTAGTATGTCTGCATGTTCTGAGGTGACATCTTAAACTTTTTGCATGAATAGATGAGTATTGACATATGTATGAAATTATTTTTGGAGGAAAAGTGATTTTAGTCATCCTTGATTTTTGAAGTTTGTGTGATGGCTGATGAAATCATGTTGACCATCTTCTTGGTCAATTTGGAAGATTAGAAAACAAGTTAGAAAAATGGTAATTATAGAAAACAAGTTAGAAAGATGATAATTTTAGAAAACTGAGTGAAATAGGAGGTGACTCCCTTTTCACACCTGTTAGGAAGTATAGTTAAACTATCAAGAAAGCAAATGATAAGGTGGCATGTTTGATGCGACAGTATATCTTGTTCTTTTCTGTACCTTGTTGCAATGGAAATAATGATAATTGAAAATAATGATCTTAATGTGCCTAATTATACTATGATAACTGAAGATAACTTATTTATGTATTTATTTTACATTTGACTTAATATATTTTCTTTTGTTTATTACTTCTACAGCCACCTTTTGTTGGTGGAAACAGACAGAAAATCCAGCAAAAGATCATAAAAGATAAGATCAAGTTGCCAGCATTTTTGTCAAGTGAAGCGCACTCACTTTTAAAAGGCGTAAGTTTACTAACATTGATATCTCTATGCCTTCGCTTTTGCCATGTGCATGATCTTTTTTTATCTTTGAGTTTTATGTTATGAGTGAGTGAAAAATGATGGCTATGTACTTTTGGGATGCTTGTAATTTATGTTATAGCTGGTTGGATACAAATATCAGTTGATTCTGTCTAAGTAGTGCTATAATTTAAATTCTTAGGCTGATCAAAAGTGGTACATGACAGAATGCTCTAGAGATCCAATAGTTCTATGGTTTAAGTTAAATGAGGCCCTTTATAAGTTGAGACTAGTCTTTGTTTGTGTGGTTGAATGATTTAAATTTTGTGACTAAATTATTGCTCCTGCTTTAGCTGATGAGTTAAAGAATTCAGGGTTTCATGATGTATTACTGCATGTCTATGTTTGGTTCAATAAGGAAATTATGAAGATTCTTTTTCTTTTTTCTCCCCCACTCCAGCTCCTGCAGAAAGAAGCAAACAAGCGTCTTGGCAGCGGACCAGGAGGTAGTGAGGAGATAAAAGGCCACAAGTGGTTCAAATCTGTCAACTGGAAGAAATTGGAGGCTCGGGAAATCAGGCCAAGCTTTCTCCCTGAAGTTGCTGGGAGGCACTGTGTTGCTAACTTCGAGGAGTGCTGGACTAACATGCCTGTGCAGGATTCTCCTGTTGCTAGTCCAAAATTTAATGAGAATCCCTTCAAGGGGTTCACTTATGTGAGGCCTGCCGCATCATTTCTTCAAAGGAACATATGATATTTCCAGGGTTACCTCTAAGCCTTTGCATATGGGTTCGAGGAACGTTGGATATTTGTTTTTCCCGCCTAATGCTGAGTTATGGCATAAAGAGGAAACCTATGTTGGTAACAACTTATTTGAGCATGGTGATTGCTGAAGGATAAGTATATTATCCTGTAATGTTCACTGATTTACTTCTACCGTAATTTGGATTAATATTGTCAACATCTGAACAAAGCACTCAGTTAAATTAAGTTCTTGTGTTGTGGAGTTGTTTTTGTACTGTGTCAATTGTTAGAATATATTGACATAGTTACTGTGAAATTACATGTTCATATTATTAAGGTGCAGCCTCTAGTATACAATACTACAATAGACAAGTCTTGGATACAATCTCTATTTTTGGTTGGAGCAACTGTTTTTCCTTCTCAGTAAAAGAAGTGAATATCTGTTTTATTAAAACTGGATATACAAAATCTCACATAAAACAAAATGAATATCTAAGAACTAAACCATATCACTTTCTGGGAGCTTATCATCATTGATAGAATCTTTGGTCTTAGTATTATTTCCATTGGCTGTGTCTCCTCTTCCACCAAGATCCCTGTCTTCTCCGGAAATTTCCTCAAGTGACCGCCCCTTTGTTTCTGGCACCAAGAAGGTGAAGAGAAACCCTATCAAATTAACAATAGAAAGTGCAATTATAGCCTGCTTGATTCCCTTCGTCCCCTTTTGAGCATATGACTGCACCCCAAATGCACCAATAATAGCTCCTGCTTTGCCTGCGGCTGCAGATATCCCATGGCATGTTGAACGAAACCTTGCAGGGAATAGCTCTGCTGGCACAATAAAGGTTGTGCTATTGGGTCCAAAGTTTGCAAAAAATAAGGTAAGCCCGTAAAGAACCATGAACCATGCAGGCTTGCCGTCACAATATTCTTTGGTTGCCTTTGGATCGGTGCACGTATTACCCCTAAGATCGTAATAGAAAATTCCAAGAATGGCCATGCAAATGGACATGAGTAGGAACCCACCAAGCTGGATTATGAACCTTCCAAGTGTATCAATCAGGAAGACAGTCAACCAGTATCCTGGGACTGTTGCAAATAGTGCAACTAAGAACATTGCTTTTGAGAGTTGGAATACTTCATCAATTGCATTCATTGTTGTGTTCTTACGTACTATTCCACTAACTGGGTAAACATCTTTCTGTGTGAGTTGGAGACTATAGAATGCAATGTCCAACAGGAACCAAGTACTAGTTGTTCCAAGCAGGTGAAGCCCATGTCTCCGGACAAACTCCTTGGAAATCAATTTGTAAGAAGAGTTAGAGCTGATAACAGGAGCTGCTTCTATAGTTATGTCCTTTTCAAGGACTTTGGCCATGTCAGCAGCAGCTTTTTGATGGTTTCCTGCAACCAAGGCCGTGTACCTAGCAGTTTCCGGCATTTTCATCCGCCAGTAGTATGTCAAAGCGGCAGGAACTGCACCAAACATAAGCACGATCCGCCAAACAAAATCTCCTTGTGATTGAGTAGATAGAACAGCATTTTCTTGAAATTCTGGAGCATCAAAAGCAATCAAGAATAACTTGGACACAATCATGGATACCGCTCCTGCAACCAATATCCCCATTCCTTGCATCGCAAACACAGCTGCAATGAAAGCTCCTCTAGTTTTCTGGTTTGAATATTCAGACATTATCACTGCTGATAGTGGATAGTCCCCTCCAATACCAAACCCAAGCCAGAAGCGGAAGAAACACAGACTCGCAATTACACTTTCAGCTGTAGAGCCAAAGGAAAGGCCAGAGGCCAAGGCACATCCCACCATTGTGACTAGAGTTAACCCATATACTTTCTTCCTACCAAGTTTGTCACCTAGCCAACCAAAGAAGAGTTGCCCTGCTAGTGTTCCACATAAAGCAACTCCAACTATTGCATTATTGACATTTGTTGGGAGAACTCCTGGCTTGGGGCTTTGGCCGGGTTTGTGATTGGAAGGATCAAAGTAGTAGAGGCGACCTATGAGCTTGGTGACAGCAGTAATGCAGAAAAGATCATAAGCATCTGTAAAGAATCCCATACCAGCAATGACGATGGCCTTGAAATGGTAGAGTTGTGTCTTGGCATTGTCAAGAGCTGAGAACACAGCTTGGGTTCCTTCTGCCATTTTCTTGTGAGAACTGAGAAATGGAGAGGGACTTGAATGCATGGCTTATAAATATGGTTTCTTTGTCGTTTTCACAGATTGTTGTTTGCTATACAAGAAATTGCCAATGTTGTATGTAATTTGTCTTGTAGTTGCCGTTGGTACCAAGAGAACGACGTGTATCTTTATTCTTATTATTCCTGTTCACGGACACTCATGTATCATTCTTTGGGGGCTATGTCAATATGATTCATTCTTTTGTTTATTCTTAAAGCCTTTTTACTCATTTTAGGATAATCCGCCTTGTCTGTCAGCGATTTCTCCAATGTTTTAATGTGGAGCATATGCTGCCACCAAACATCCAAGCCATAGGTTTCTTCACACAAATGTGTTTCTATTCTTAAGGTTTTAAGGGATTGAACTTTCTGCGCAAGCATATATGAACGTTGTACTTGGAGATGACAAAACAGCAATGGCCAGAAGAAGAGTCTGCCAACCTTGAAGTTGCAAGTTTCTCTTTTCTCCCTTTCTGCTGCTTTTGATATGAAATTATATACACTCAATGTGCATTCAAAGTTGAAAATTTGAAAAGAATTGGTGTAAGCAAAAGTAACTACACTATTTTAGATTTGACAAAACACAGTTTTTTACACCTCACCTATTTAGAAGTTTAAACTTGTAAACAATACAGCACACTACCCACTCACTACCATTAAGCTAAACAAACAAGTAATTACATCATGTCATTTTCCAAACGATAAATAATCTGATTCTGAAATCCAGTGTTCACCAAATTAAATAACAAAAAAAATTGATGCTGAGTAAATATCCCCTGACTCAACAGCCAACACAAGCAGCCGAGAAATGCCAAGCTAGAATTGATTGTTCTCTCCTCTTCTCCCTGTCTACGGAACTAACTGGTTATCATCAAAACTAGGATTGGAGTCAAGTAGGTCATCCATTTAGAAGACTAGAGATGGCAGCTGTCTTCTTCTGGAGCTCCTCCTTGTTTCCTCCAATAAGTTTGTCCACTTGTTGTCCATCTTTAAGGAAATAGAATGTTGGGGTGGCTCTGATCGCCCATTTAGTGCTGAATTCCTGCACATTACCCAACAGATTGTCAAGTGTATTTATATACATATCTGAACTTCAATTTAGCATTGTAATCAAACGAATTATGATCTAACTTTTAACATAAGTGAAAGAGCATGAGTAGGTGAAAATTTTGATGGCTTTTATACGTTTCATTGTAAGTGTAGATATGTAGTAAGATAAATTTGAAATTGTTCTAACTTACAGGAAGCTCATCCACGTCTACAGTTAAACATATGAAAGAAGGATGTTTATCAGCAATCTCACTGTATAATGGTGCTATTTTTCTACAAGGGCTACACCAATTAGTACTGAAGTTTGCCAAAACCTGTTACAGTTGAACAAAAAAGTGATTATAAAAATTTAGACAATTAATGTAGCAGAGAAATAAAAGATAGGCACCAGTGAATTATGAAGAAAATAAAATTAAAAGTTAAAAATCATTTTATATAATTAAATAGACCACCGATTCTCATCAAACCAAATATTAGTGACAAACCAGAACCAGATACTTAAAACTAAAATAGAAATGTTTTCAATGTTTGAGGTATTCTTTTTGTTGAAAAATGAACCTATTTTGGTGTGTGCAAACATGGCTCAAGTCGAAGAAACAAAGAAGTGCTGGCTCAAGTTGAAGACACAAAGAAGAAACGAGGAGGAAGTAAACACATGCTGTGGCACAGGTTCACGCATGCCATAGCATAGGTTAACGCATGCCGCGGCACAAACGTGATTTGATGAAGAAAAGAAGATAAGGAAGCGCGGAAACGGAAAATTCAACCAAGACAGTTTAAGTTTGTTTCTAGTTTTAGGAATTTCGTTCAATTAGGAATTTCCTTTTCTTAGTATGAGTTAAATTAGGGAAGCAGAACTTGATTAGGAATATTATTTCATAGGTGTCTTGTTTGTGTTTAACTAAGAAAGTAGATTTCGTTTTTCCATATTGAAGTAGGAGTAGTATTTCTTTTTTTGTATAAAAGAAGTTAAACATTGATGAATAAAGTATGAGAGTGCATTGTTTTCTTCAGAAAAAGTGTTTAAGTCTATTGCTCCCAATTCCAACACTTTTGGTTCCGCAATTTGGGTACAAATGCAGTAGAAAAATGACATGTGCAAGCTTTTTAGAGACTCATTTTTCACATAGAGATTACCAGAATTTGCATAAACGAAAAATTGGTATGGATCAATGTCAGTATCAGGATAATGAAACTTCCTAGTCTCAATTGACACTAATAAACTTACAATTTTGTGATCTTTGATTGATTCTGATATCTTTTCCTCCCAGCTTGCTGTGGTAGTGATAAGGTGCACATTTCCACTGGCAAGCTCTACATCATGATAAGTGTCATCATCTTCATCATCACAATAATCAATATCATTTTTACGACACTGCAGTTTGTAGATTGTTGTTGTTCAGCATATATAGATACAAACCAAAATAAAGCAAAAGGGTTGCAGGAAGGATGATTAACAAGACTTGCCTTGACGAAACACTGTCCCATATATACAAAATAGAACTTCACGGTTGCTCCCTAGAAGAAGAAGAAAACCTGACAGATTATTTAAATTTATCACATATATGTGGCACATCAAAATATCAAACAATGGACATGGAGAAATTATTATATCTTGGCATTAAAACATTTGGCAATGAATCATAACATTACACAAAAACATAAAAGAAAAGAAACAAATTAGAAGACCTTTCGATGATCCTGTTGCTGAATAGAAATGTTGCATAATCCAGCATTTTGGATGGCTAATTAAATATATGATCGTTGGTTTTGGATGAGGAAAAACGGCCAAGATCAGAAAAATCAGGAAGAAGATAGAACAAGTGGCAGTTTATGATCTGTTCCGGGTATGTGGAAGATAATTTTTATTGTGTAGTAATTAGTATGATAAATGGTTTTGTTTTTCATATTTCTAAAGCCATTTCATTCGTAACTAACGTCCTAAAATTTGGCTTCAGACATATATGTCCTTTGGTTTGCACTTTGCATGGTGTTTATTGTTGCTAATAAATTAGATTTATATTCTATTTAGGGATGAGCCTAGCCAGTAGCCACTCATGGAACCATTATTACCAACCATCCCATTCATATTTATAGGAAAGATAAGAGCAATATCAAACTAACAGTAACTGCCCTGGTTCAATGAATTTTATAAGAACAAATAAATGTTCATTACTTAATAGTTATTGGGCAAACTGAGCTTTTCGAATTCAAATGGGGATTTCTCTAATTTGATCATGGAGTTTGGACATTTGATTCAGCTTCAGATGATGTGCGGTTCTTCAACTCAGGCTGTTGAATTTCCTCTATCATTCTAACAACTTCATCCATTTTTGGACGCATCTCAGGCACTTTCGCAACACATGACAATCCAATCTGAAGCATCTGCACCATCTCCTCTTCAACACTTTGGTACCTCATGAGTTCAACATCAAACACCTCAGCTGTCCATTCTTCTCGGACGACAGAACGAACCCACCTGGGGAGATCAACCACATCATCATGCCCTGAGTGTTGGAGTGGGGCTTTGCCTGTCAACATTTCAAGCAGGAGCACACCAAAGCTATAAACATCTGATTTTTGAGACACTTTGCGTGTTTCTATTACTTCTGGAGCACGGTACCCTATGGTTCGTTGCTTGGTTGTAGGGAAATAGTTCATTAGAGGAGCCAAACCAACATCAGAGATACAACCATCAAGGTCTTGGGTGAGGAGGACATTGGAGGACTTGATGTTCCCATGGATGAATTTAACACTACCATTACTCTCAGAATAATTATGGATGTGGGCAAGACCCCTGGCAGTCCCAAGTGCAATTTTCACTCTTGAATTCCAATCCAATGGACTTCCTCCTTCTATCCTACTTCCTGCAAACATAGAAAAAATCCATATCATTTCTCAAATCTTCATAAACAACAGAAATGTTAGTGCACATCACATTGTAAAGAAACCAACCATCAGTTTGACATTATTCATGTCTGGTTATGTATGACATTCAGTGACAGGTTTCATTTCAATACCTATCAGTCAGATACTGATATTCATTTCTAGACTTTGAATCAATGGCTGGCTTATGCTTGTAATAATACTGAGCTAACTTACAACTTGGTTAAATTATGTATTACAAGGCTTTGCAGTTTTGATGTTTCAACCTTTTTCCACTCTAGTTAACAGAGCGAGTACATCTCATGGTCATGGCCTGGAGTATAGCAACTAAAGAAACAGAAAGAAATATTATGTCACCAAAATAATTACTTGAATTAAGTTAAGATAAAACATACCATGCAAGAGCAAGAACAAGCTGCCAGAGGGCATGTAGTTGAAGACTAAAAGCTTCTCATCCTTTGAATAGTAATAAGCACGGACAGGAACCACATTTGAATGGTGTCCAATCCTGCCTAAGACTTCCATTTGCTGCTCAAACTCCTTCTTACTAGCTGCCACTTCCTTCAACCTTTTAACTACCACTGCTGTCCCATCCTCCAAAATAGCCTTATAAGTTGATCCATAACTTCCCTTACCAAGAACTTCAGCCGAAGCCCTCAACAAGTCCTCAAGATCAAAATTATAAGAACAACCTTCAAAGAAACACAATTTGTTCTTCTCAGCTTCTTGAACTCCACTTCCAAACTCCTTAGGCTTCTCACTGTTCCTACCACCAGAGACCTTTCCTTTCAGCACATCACCACCTTCACTATCGCCCTTCTTCAAGCAGCACACAAAGAACATTGCTAGCAGTAGAAACAACACAGCGCAGCCCCCAATAGCTATTGCAATGATAGATCCTGAACCAAGTTTCTTGCTGCTGGAAGCATGTCGAAGTGGGGAAATATTTGTGGGGTTTGGAAAGTAAACTGGGGAAGGAGCAGGGGAAGAGGAAATTGAGGAGCAATTCTTGAGAGGCAGCCCACATAGCAGAGAGTTTCCAACAAATGATGAATAAGGGAACTTTTGAAGGGAGCTAGGAATTGAACCATTCAAGTTGTTAAAGCTCAAATTCAATGTCTTGAGCCTGGGGAGGTTGAGTGGGGGGATATCACCAGAGATGGAATTCTTTTGAAGGTTAAGCACATTAAGTCCTGTCAGATTCTCGAGTGTTGGTGGAATTTTTCCAGTGAAGGAGTTAAAGGAAAGATCCAATACATTGAGCTGGGGGGATATAATTTCAGGAAACGCACCTGAAAAGTTGTTATGTTGGAGGTAAAGGTATTGGAGGGAGGGAATGGAGGTGATATCAGAAGGAAGATTTCCACTGAGATTGTTGGACCGGAGACTAAGGACCTGGAGACCATTGAGTTTTTGCAAACTGTTGGCTGGGATGGGGCCAGAGAGTCCAACTCCAGGAAGATGGATGGCAACAACTTGAGTTCCATTAACATTGCAAGTGATCCCAACCCAAGAAGAGCAAACTGAGGTAGTAGCATTCCAGTTAAGTTTTCGGACATGTGGGACAGTGGCAACAAAGTGAAGGAGGGCTTGTCTATCAGAGTTGAGGTCAGTAATAATTGGGGCAACAATAGAGAGTACGAAGAAAAGGAAAGTGAGAACAGCAATGGAGTTATGAAACTTCATGGATATTTGTTAAGTATGCAAATGATGCAATGTCAGTTCGACTCCTGTTGCTTTATCTGGAAAAACCACCAAACCAAGTCAGCTGAACAAGCATGGCTGAAGCATCGATAATTGTTTAAACATACAAGGTTATATATTCCCTATCCCTCCATCATATATGTTAAAGTGATAATTACTGAAACTGTTAGATTAGCACCTCTGGATTGGAATTCTTAGAAGCTAAAAATAATAAGGATTATATCAGAAAATCATTAGAAAGTGCGTTTAATTACTTCAAAGCTCTTTCCAAATGCATATTCAAACTTTTTTTTCCTTTTTTTTTTTGAAAAAAAGCAAAAAGAGTCGTCCACTTACAAAAGCAAATTGGTGATCTATAAAGAATCCAAGGAAAACAAATGTTTGACATAATAAAGAAAGCAAAAGCAAAAGCTCATTCGTCTTTGTTATGTTAAAGGGAAGACGTGCCATTTTGAAAGTTCTCTCTTTACCTTACTAAAGATATGAATTATTGAATGCTACTAACACAGAATAAATACTAGACCATTTTAATTTCCTTGACTGTTAGATACACGCTTGACTAGAATTGACAGACAAATTTGAATGATCATTTCTTTAGTAATCAAATATGAGAAAATTGAAATTATACAGAAAGGGAATGGCGATTAACAAGTATTGGGTTGCTAAAAGCTGAAGCATACATGAATGTTAGCTTTATATACATAAAATAAAAATAAAAGATCATGCGGATAAGATAAAGGAAAACAGAAAACAACTTAGAATAGTGTTGGTAGGACTTTCAAACCTTGCAGAATTTGCTCTTATCCACAGGGGTGCAGTGCCAGTTCAGAATTTGCTACTAATCTGTCAAAAGACAAAAAAAACTTTCGTTATTCAAGGAAAAGAAAAAGAATCAATGTTCCAAAGAGGAGAGCTAATATTTGATATGTTTAGTCCTCGACCTCTAGTCTTTCTCAACTTAAAGTTATAGAATCCCAAAAGGCAAAAAATTTGAACACAGAAAGCTCAAACAAACAACAAAGCTAAGCAACAATAGCTCATTACTGATGAGAACTGAGGGTAAGACATAATCAAGTACATTGTAACAAAAAGAGTAAAGCTAAAATATTGATAAATTCATTATGAAAACAAACCCCTTTTGGTTTGCCAGTCTAAACAGACCAGAAGGGTCACTCTCCACCTTCAAAAAAGACTGATTATTCCCTGTTTTCTTGTCTTGAAAAGTATCAAGGAAATAAAACTTCGAAGGATTGCTTATAATTAACTTTTGCTTATTCTTCCGCAAAACTAAGGCTTAAATTACTAAGACATCCTGTAAGGATATTACTTATTAGCACTACAGGAACACTTTAGTAGCATATATACTGAGAGTGAGAAGCATTCACCTTGAGAAAATGTCGGCAGAAATAATTTAACTTGACACTTTGCCTTTAAATCTTTTTATCCAACCAACACCCCATAATGCTTTAATGTCTTCCTGCTGAAATCGAAAAAATAATGTAGAAGAAACAGCAGAAAAGGAAGCATGCATTGATTATATTGTATTTTAGTAGCAAAGTACGAATTTGATGTGATGCAGTTGAGTTGGTGTGTAAAAAACTGGTATGGTATTTCATGACAACATGCTTAGATAATTATCAACGTCAATAGGGTGAAGTTAAATCCCATCCCATCTAATTTTTTCTTTTTACATGTAAATGTTCATTTGATGAAGAAACAATGATGGATATGTTAGCACGAGAACTTGAATTGTCAGCCATTTGGTATAAGAAACTCTAAAAATATTATGATAAATTTATGTCTTCTTCAAAGGGAAATGATGAATTTAGACACAGAAATATTATCACGTAGCATTCTTTATTTTGAATTTAGCAGCAAAACTATCATCATCTTCTTCCATTCATTATGACAACTTGAGCTAGCTCACATGGTAGGTCCATTTTCCCACCTTTTTTTTTTATTGGTGTGGTAGTAATTGGGGACTGGGTCTCCTTTTCTTTAGAACAGATCTTTCTGCCTTGCTAGAGCACACCCCATTTGTGTCAAATTTGCTTAGCTAGATGTCATTTTCCAATTTTGTTGTGAGATAATTAGTTAGACGAATATTTCCAAAATGGGATTAAACAATCCATAAAAGACAGATGGTTGGTGATTGTTAGCACCGAGTTGTTTGTTATGGTCGGTCCTAGAGATCATGCTCTTAACAAATCATTGTAGGTAGCAGGTATAAAGAATTCAACTGAGCACATAAATGGGATTTAGATGTTAATCAAAGTTATTATGATTGATACATGAAGGATTTTCCATATGCAGCCAAACTTATCTGAAGCAAGTGGCTGACAGCATTTATGGTTTGTCATCGTGAACAATGCCTCGATTGTAAGCTTTTATTTCTCTCCACTTTTACACTGAAAAGTTAAAATATCCGAAGATGGTCATTAACAAGATTGCAAAACTACTCTGATGCAGATGGAAAGCGCTTCTATATGCAAAGTCATTTATCTGAGATTGTCAAAGCCTCAGCCAACCTTGAAAATTCTCCTGTGAAACAAAATGGAAACAGAAACAATCACTGAGTGCCGACTTTTTCAACCTTTTCAATTTCTTCACGGTGCTTTCTTTCTGCCTCCTGAAGTTCTCTTTCCTCATCCTCCTCTTCCTCAATTCTGTCAAGATCATCAAATTCTTTGGTTGCTGCCATTGCTTTCACTACTGGATCTCTTAGTTCCGAGATCAATCCACCACCAACCTTATACTCTTCTTCATCTCCAATCAGGAATAATCGCTGGTCTGGTCCTGATGCCATGGGGATGTCAACTGCCAACAGCTTCATATCATACTGCGATAAAAAACACCACCAAAATCTTAAATAAGCAAGACTTTCAAAATCTTAAAATCCACATGTTGATCTCTCTCCCTCTCTCTCACACAAGCGTAGGTGTCAAATACATTTCAAATTAACTAATGTGATAGCAATACACAAGACCTGTATATTCAGAATACTAATCAACTAACCTAACAGTGATACAAAACTGATGCTAGAGGGCAAAAATTATGCTTTAATTGACAGATACTGAATCCATCAGTTAAATGGGGAAATACAGTACTTGATAGAAAAAAATCATATTGGTGCAGGCAAACACAAATCATAGCAAGAAATCATTCATGCAATCCACATTTGCAGACAATAGAGAGAAGTGCATCATAATACAGTACTTGATAGAAAAAATCATATTGGTGCAGGCAAACACAAATCATAGCAAGAAATCATTCATGCAATCCACATTTGCAGACAGTAGAGAGAAGTGCATCATACTACAGTACTTGATAGAAAAAATCATATTGGTGCAGGCAAACACAAATCATAGCAAGAAATCATTCATGCAATCCACATTTGCAGACAATAGACAGAAGTGCATCATCAGTATGGTTGAAACTGAAGAACTACTTTATGGTTGAACCTCAAGAACACCCCCATTTAATGTTACAAGAAGAGGTCCAGGCAGAATAAGAACAACACACGAATTAATCAATACTTGAAAGTTACTTTGACATCCTCAATGAAAATTTTATGGTTTTCATGTGGTTTTGGTTCAGGGATGCAATGAGAAGCAAACCTGTCCTTTTTTCTTCTTGACTTCAACACTGACTAAACCCTTTCTTTCAGATCCTCGTATTGGGAAAATGAGAAAACAACGCTTGCTCCTCAATCTTGGCTTGAAGTTCTTCACTATAATCCCACCTCCTGACATCACATATGCTCTTAAATCTGTTCCTGAAAGAGGTGCACCCATAACTTCTAGGATCCCAGCAGATGTGTTAAGCCTCCTCATAGCAATTCTATAAACTTTATCAGGATTGATTGTGAATCTTGAGCGGACATAGAGGCCCTTAAAGTAACAAAAAAGCATAAAATGTGACCTATAAATAGTGCATAATTCTTCAGATATGAGGCCAATAAAAATGAATTGACATAAAATGAAATGTTTTCAGAATCTTGAGGTGAGAATGCTATTGCAAAGAGAGCAAAAGAATTATCAGGTTTTGAGGTACAGATGAAATTATGATTAGAGTTGATAGTAACAGATTCAGTGTCTGGATAATAATACCAGAGGTTCCAAAATCAAGCTGAATGACGATGATAATAACCATAAAGAAAAAAAATGTAATTTTGAGACTGCACTCAGTATATCAACAAAGAGGCACCCTGCCAATTGAGTGCAGCATCATTTCTAGAGGTTGTGCACCATGACTATGATGCTTTCTCTACTAGTAAGCATTTACAACCTATAAATCAGCGGCCAACAGTGCCATAGATTCATGTTACTGTTGCAAAATATTACAAAAGTAGTTCCAGCTTGAAAAACACTGCCAAAGCTTGAAAATAACATTTCATTTTAAAATAAAACAAAATCATTCAGTAGAATTTGCAACTTTGCACATAAACTAACCTTCCTATGCAACAAACTGAAGCGAGAAGTGTACTACATTTAACAAGGTAAATGGAAAACAAAGAAACCTGATGGTTGCTATAGATTGGACCTCCTCATGTGGTTGGGAAATAACAAGAATGAACACAAAGTTTCCCAACTAAACATTATGAGGTTTTGGACCGTGGTGCAGAGAATATATTCCTCTTTTTGAAGAAATGGAACTGGAGTTGAAATAGTGAACACTTAACAGTAAGACCAGCAGAAGAGCTTGCATTATAGCAGAATAACAGCACTAGATGCTACAGAAGTTAAGTTGCAAACCAAGATACTGCAAGTACCAGTAAAAGATCTTGAAAATTGATTTTCGTAAAGCACATCACACACCCAAAAGGAGTAACACCTTCTGAATGATTTTCAAAAATATATAGTAAGGTGAATAATATCATCACAGACAATGTAATTTCACTCACCAGTTAAAATATAAATAATCTTTCCTCAAATTGGAATTTATAAACTGATATGTATAGACAAACTGTAGTAATTCATATGGAAAAGTCCTTCAACGCCTCAATTCGCAAGTCAAAAACATCCAACTCTATAGTACACAAATGTGCACAAAATTGCTCGCCACAGATCAATTACCAACCATAAGTTTACAACAGATGTAACGCAGAAGTAAATAAACTAGCAAAAACAGGACACATTGTGGGAGAAGAACTTACTGCAAAAGCTACAATAGCAGAAGAAAGCGCAAGGAACCCATACTTAGCCATGCCTTCTGATATCCCAACAAAAGTGCTTGCGATCCCAAACATAATCCTCCAAAGCAAAGCACATAATATAACACCTCCAGCGGCAAATAAAAACAAATAGTTCCTCTTGAAAAACGCATCAATTTGCAACCCAATAGCCTCACGGTACCTTGAAAAGGCAAAGGAAACCGCTGCGGCCGGCTTCTCAAAAACCTTTTTTGCAAAATTGCCATCAACTTTTTGACCGAATTGTGAGGCTTTAAAGGAATAGAACCTGAACCCAGATGAAAGTTTGTGATTGGGTCTAAAAGGGTGTAAGCTTGTGTTAAGAGAGTGGTGTTTTTGCGAAGGTGATAGAATGTGGGATAAACCGAGATTTGAAGAGGTGGGTTTTGCAGGAAGGTTAGAGTGGATATGAGAGGTTAAAGTTGTGAAATTTGAGGAGGCATTTGATGGGAAATGGTGACGAAATGCAGATGAGAGATAAGAAGAAGCATTAGCGAAGGAGGGTTTTGACTTGTTGACTTGAGGATGGTTACGGAAATGGAGTCTGAGCAGACCTTGGATGATTGGTTTCGATTGTTTTGACATTCTGACAGATTATATTCACAAGCCGCACAAACTCGATTGCAAATACCAAGATTCGTATTAGCTTTGAGATAACAGGAAGAAGAAAAAGAAAAAGGAAATTTGAATCATCGGAGAAAGCTTCTATTTTGTGGTTTGAGCTTTCATTTCATATGGAAGGACTTTTGGAACGACGAAACCAATTTGGGCCATCGTCGAATCCCAAATTTAGGTGAACGGGTATTCATTTTCTCGTTAATGTCAATTCGACATCCATTATCAACACAATAATATAATGAAAGTTAGCTTCTCAATCAATTTTTTTTTTTTTTTTTTTTTTATCCTTTTAAATATTGGATTCGATCAAATTCTCTCTTTGGTATGGAACTATAAGAAAAAGGTTCATTTGCCAATCGTCATCCTGGTAATAAGAGGGCCAAGCCAACTGATGCATTTTGTACAACTTAATACGTGAATGAAGAGCAAGTTCTATTGCTTGTAACAAGTGAATAGCATTTGATTTATATTTTCATATCAAAACTTATCTTCCATTTACATAAAAAGAAATGGAGCCTTTTTACTCATTTCCATCTTATCAGAACATATTCCTAAATCCTGATTACTCTTTCAAGAGCAAAAGAGGAGCCCAACCATGGAATCTGTGTCCAATTCTCTAGGGAATTTACTTGGATTCCAAGAAAACCCCCGTACATGCCACAATACAGTTTTAAGGTTGATGATGTTTTCTAGATAAAAAAGTCTTGTTCCATATCATATAAAATTCCCATCGGGAAATCCATGTTAAAGCATTCCATAGTTGAATTTTAAAGATATATTTTTTTAATAAATCAGTAAGAGAGTTACAGGCCACGTAGTAAGATGAAATTTTTTCACATATACTTAAAAACCCCCCCGTATAGAATGATGTTAAATAGCTGATTCACTAAAAGAACTGCAAAACCACATTACGAAAGATAAACACTCCACACATTAAAACCAAACACAAATGCCACATAAAATGAATTATGTCCAATTCAATTGACAAAAAGTTTCAATAACAATAATAAACTAAGCAATGTTCAGCAACGGATCTCTAAGAGATTATACTATTTTTAGGTAGCAAATATCCTACGATGTAGCTTCCAGAAAAGCTCTTCCAGGTTGACGATGAGCCAAAGGACCATGACATCCAAGGAGCTGCACAATTACAAGTATAAAACTAAGGGATTGGCGAACAATAATTAAAAAGAACTGTAGTAGAGCAAATTTACAGCATTTTAGATGTTTTCACTCCAATACAGTTTTGATGTTACCTTAGCATTGACACCATCAGGCATAATCCTGTTCTCTGACTTCCACCTCAGATAATCAGCACGGCTGAACTTGGTGAATCCCCTAAAAAAGGAATATATATATACATATGCAATGGTGAGAATTAATCTTAAAAATAAGAGATGTCCATGTTGTACAAATATTCACCAAATATATATATATATATATATATATAGAAATTGTGTATCATGGGTAAATTCAGGTAGAAATGAACTTTTAAAATAAATGTAAGACTTGTTCCAAAGGCTCTGTTATCTCAACCACCAGAGTGAGGGGACTAAAAGGTTTTGAACCAAAAACAAGGCCAGAGACTGCAACTAGCAGGCCAACTAATCTATGTGATTCTAACAACAAATATTCACATTCGATAAATATAAACAATATAAAACATGAACGCATAATTAAATTTCAGATAAATACAAGGGGCCATACCATTTCCTGCTAACAATAATCTTTTGACGACCAGGGAACTTAAACTTTGCACGGCGAAGAGCCTCCTGAGCGTGATGGCTATTACTGTCCTTGCAACGAACAGAAAGCAGGACCTGACCAATGCTGACTCTAGCACAAGTACCTTGGGGTTTACCAAAGGCACCTCTCATGCCAGTCTGGAGCCTATCAGCCCCAGCACACGAAAGCATCTTGTTGATCCGAAGAACATGGAAAGGGTGCACCCTAACTCTCAAATGGAACGCATCCTTGCCAGCAAATTTGGCCATGTACTTGTTGCAAGCAATGCGAGCAGCTTCCAAGGCCTCACTGGACACATTTTCCTTCTCCCAACTCACAAGATGAACGCAGAATGGGAACTCATCAACACCTTTCTTTTTCATTCCAACATCATAAATTCTGATCTTGGGATCAGGAACACCACGGCAATACCGTGACTTGGGGTAGGGTTTGTTCTTGATTTGACGGTAGCACCTTGCAGGTCCTACAAATCAATTACATTACATTATGTCAGGTTACAACTTCAATTTATTGAAAACTAAAAATCACGTCTTTATACATAAAGGTTACAATATATTCATAAAGTTAAATGTCTATAACATAAAGAGGAACGATAGAGAGAAAAATGAACTTACTTCTACCCATGGCGGCAAGCTTTGGTGCTCTTGCTCTGCTGTGGTCCGCCGGCGTTAGGGTTAGGGTTAAGAGGCTGCGGCTGTTTCGATCTCTTAAATGCTGGTAAAATTAAATCAACCGCAGTGCATTCTGTGCGTGTAAGATTGTAATGGGCTTATCATAAAAGATGGCAACAAGCTCGCATTGAAAGCCCATAGACGTAAGAGTAGTGACTTATCCTCTCGTGGTTTTAATTTATTATTCAATGTTAAGGTAATTAATTGGCTTCTATCAAGGTACTTCCTATAATCATACAATTACAAATTATTCTCCAAGCAATAGATTGGAACTTGGAAGAACACCATTCGATATCAATGTTTTACTAATCAAACCGGGGTGAAACCTAGCATGCCCTGGGTTGACCGGTTTAAATAGTTTGATTGGCCAGTCAAACTTATTGTCCAAAGGAAAATGACAAAGTTATCGAAAAGTGTACACCGAAATTATGCACCAAATGACTTGGCAAAATCCTGACCGTTGATTAATATTAACTTATAATGAATCAACGGTCAAGATTTTGTCACGTAATTCGGTGCACACCTGTTGGTAACTGTAGCATTACTCATTGTCCAAAAGTTTAAAATTCAATAAATACACCACTAAAAATTATGTTAAAACCTTACAAGTTTGAAATTTAGCAAACAGACTTCAAATACAAATCAACGATCGATTGGTTGGCGGCAACGACACACCAAATACAATCCTAATCATCTCTTGAGCCATTCCCTAGAAAATCTACCCAAGATCTGTCCAAAATCGATTCGATTTCAACTAGATCTCACTACCATCGACATCGACAACCTAGGCTAGATCTCACCATCGCCGATGCCAACAACCTTCCCTATCACCACGAAAATACTTCCCTAAGCTTCTTGACCAAAACCTATCACACTCCACCTTCGTTCGCCTCGCCAATCGTCGACTGTTGCTGCTACAAGTTTTTTTCCGATTTCCGATCGATTCACTCACTGAAAACCACCTCTATCGCCATCATTGCACTCACTGGCCCTTCATCATCAAAACCCTTAACATTCTGACCTTCAATCGTTTACTAATCATCATTCCAATTTCTAGGGTTTTCGGTGAATAAGGAAATTGGTAACCCGACCTCATGAAGGCCCCAAGTCCCGGTTGAACCGATTCAATCGGCCGAGCTAAGCCAGGTTTTAAAACATTGTAAATCAATACCTTAAGGTTCCTATTATGTAGAGTGCTTGTGCTTCCCTATTATTACCATCACTCAAGAAGATGATTCAAACAAATGAACAAACTAGTAAGACAAAGTGAGCTCTCAATCAACCTAGTGATTAAGCAAAATCGAAGGGCAGCTAACATGCTTTGGAGTAAAATAGATTAGAGGGTCAGCAAGATCACAATTGAAACAGAAAGGTTTCATAAAACTAATCAAATATTACTACATGCTTCCTCTCTGAGAGTGATTTTGGATCTAGCGTTCGCCTTTTTCTGTATCAATGATGCTTTCCATATTGGTTCTGGTTCGAGTTTAAACATCCCATATCCTTCAGCTCAGGGTATGATAACTTACAATCATCTAGTTGCAGACATGCAATGTCAAAATTCTTAATGCAAGATTACAGGGAGAAAAAAACCAGTCAATCTAAAACAATCAAATGGTCAAATTTATTTTAACAAAAAACCCTTTGTTTGGAGTTCACAATAATCAACATCCATTAAAGAAACCATCAAATTAATGCTATTGTTGCCCCAACAGCATAACATAGTTCATAAAATTGTACAACTTAAAACAAAGTTGCCAGCCAATTGCAAGTTCTTCCAGTACAACGGAGGAACATCCACTTACTTCACTCAATACCTATGTTCCAACTTCTCTTTCTCCTGGTATCTCTGGACATACCTGCACAAATTGCAAACTTGCCGCGTTAAACTCAGTAAATTCCCAAGAGGAATCTCAAGTTATAACATATAGAAGATGAGTTTAAGGTTCATATATGAATATAAAAAAGAGACAAACTTCTGTATATTCACCAACGTTCAGTCTCCACCAAAGAAATTTCTCCAAGCCAAAAAATAATTCAGTGATGGAGATAACCCTAGGCTTGATTGATTGCCAATTCAATGCAAAATTCAGGTAAAAAAATTTCCTTTCCTCAGTGTTCTAAATTATGCACACAAATTGATAACCCAATACGAAGTAGCTTCTACTAAACCTTTCACGCTCCAAAAAATCAACCAAACACAAACTGATAGAGCCAACTATATTGAATAATTAAAAAAAGAAAAATCTTTTTCACATCCAATTTCTCGATTTCCCATATATTATAGGGATTAACATGAAATTAGATCTGCGATGTATCACTTTCAATTACAGATGGAACAAATTGACAGTAGCACATTAGAATTAATGGCAATAAGGAGGATTTTTAGTGTATAAAAGCAATCAAAAGCAGGCATATTTAGATTTATTGGAAGTGGTAAAACCCTAAGTTAAACTATGCTCAAGGAGACAATCGCAACTATAGGAAATTTCATAAGAAATTAAAATGGGTAAAAAAAACAATCGATAAAGAAGAGAAGAAAAATTACGTGTAGGTGCCAACGAGAGGGCCCAGGAGGAGGACGGCGCTGATCCAATTCTCGGAAACCTTGTGATGGATCTTGTCGGGCAAATCCTTCCATAGGCCGGGCATTATCTTCTGCTGAAACGGCGATAGCGCATACACCACCGCCTTCATCTTCACTGGTTGCTTCCCCATCTCTCTATCGCTATTGGTATTACAATTCCGCTGATGATTATTTGTATCTCAGGCGCTTCTGCTGCTCCTATTTTATTTTAACAAACGCAGAGTTGGACTTGGACCGGTATAAACTTATTCCCGCATCCAAACACTCTATTTGCCTTCCAGAGTCCACCATCAGGGCTTTGGCATAAATATTTACGTATATGGGACTTTAATGATATTTGACTAACGTAATTGCTTTAGACTGCGACGTGGCTGGTTGATGGAAGAGTCCGGCTGATTACGTGTCTCTTCCTTTCTTGTTGGTCTGACAATCCAGTGCATCAAAGACTTTGAACTTGCAGCACAGAACTCAACGAACCGGCCATGAAAATCTTCCACGTTCCTTGCTTAGAAGACAATTACTCCTACTTGTAATTAACCCATCATTCATTTTCAGCTTATGGTGTTTATGTTGATTAAAAGATTTGATTTTGATTTGATTTTTTGCAGGATTATCGATGAGACCACTAAGGAGGCGGCAGTTGTGGATCCGGTTGAGCCCCAGAAGATAGTTGATGCTGCCAAACAACATGGCGCCCAGCTCACTCTCGTTCTTACCACCCATCATCACTGGTAACAAAATAGCCCACATAGAAAGTTTCTTTCTTTTTAATTTTACAATTTTATTGTTAAAAAGGGTATTGAGCCGATTTAAGCATACAGGGACCATGCTGGTGGGAATGATAAGATAAAACAGATAGTGCCTGGAATTAAGGTGTATGGTGGCTCACTTGACAATGTTAGGGGCTGTACTCATCAAGTGGAAAATGGTGATAACATTTCACTTGGTGCTCATATCAATATATTGTCTCTTCACACGCCTTGGTATGCTTTTTCTTTCTTCAGATTCCTCTACTTGAAGATGGATTTATTTTAGTAAGGATGCCTCACTTTTTTATTCTCAACCAGCCACACCAAAGGTCACCTAAGTTATTATGTGACCAGCAAAGAGGGAGAACAGGACCCTGCTGTTTTCACTGGAGACACATTGGTAAGTCAAAGATACTTGCTTTAAGTTTTCATCAGAGCTCTTTACACTAGAGATCGTAACTGGGCAGTTGTCATTGTGTTGGAATTAAATTTTATTCCTTTTTTCTTGTATGTTTGTGCTTAAGGCAATAAGCTGCGCCTTTTTTTCCTCTCTTTTGTAGTTTATAGCTGGTTGTGGAAAATTTTTTGAAGGCACAGCAGAACAAATGTATCAATCACTGTGTGTAACATTGGGCTCATTGCCGAAGCCAACTCGAGTTTACTGTGGCCACGAGGTAAAATAGTTTGCTTATTTTCTTTTACAAAAATGTACATGAACTTTAATTTCTAATTTTTAATAGATTATGAGTTTGCAACTGTCTTTATGTAGTTCATCGATGTCAATTTCAATTTTGCATTATCACTATCACATGATATCTAGTTGTGTCGGTCTTCTGCCCACCTTATGCTTCATACTTTCACTGGTTTGTTACCATGTCTAAGTGTCTGAAGGTGTTTATAGAAAACATCATCTTATTGCTGGGGGTTCAATCTATTTTATGAACAACTTAGAGCTAGTATATTTATTGAAACTACTGCAAGCAAAATTTCCAAACTGAGGGCAAGCTTGGTATTGAGAAATTAAATTGCCAGTTTGAGCTATTTTGAGTTGGAGAGAACAAGGTAGTTAACCATTTGATTAGTCCTTTTAGTGCGAGGAACTGGTTTATTTCCAGTTATTGGGGTTTATCTGTACTTTCCAGCCGTTATAAGTCCCTTGAGAATGCAATAATACAGCTTGAGAAAGTATGAAATTTGGAGTTGAAGAAATCCTTGGCTGCATTTGTTGAAACTTGTTATGTTCTAATGGAATGTTGTGTTCAAATGGAATATGTAATTTTTTTCTTAAAAGAACAAGCTTACAAGCTTAGTGTTTTTGTTTCGTGGATTTATCTTTTATGTTGATCTGTCTTATGTTTGATAGTTAAAATAATGTTTTGAGTTGATATTTTTCCAGTACACTGTGAAGAACCTCCAATTTGCTCTGACTGTCGAACCAAATAATGTGAAGATACAGCAAAAACTATCATGGGCTCAGCAACAGCGACAAGCAGGCCTGCCAACCATCCCTTCAACCATTGACGAAGAGATGGAGACTAACCCATTTATGAGGGTTGATCTACCAGAGCTTCAGGTCTTCTAGTTCACCGAAAGATTAACCTTTCAGTTTATGTTGAATGACAATTAAATACCATTCAAATAATTCAAGGCCAATCAAGCTATAGTTTTTTTCATTAGTATCTGTTATCTCATTTATCACTGGTGTAGAATGCTTTGTTATGCAAGCTTTCTTATGCAGATATTTTTGCTTCATCTGCAGGAGTTGGTTGGTTGCCATGCGCCGGTGGAAGCTCTCCGGGAGATAAGGCAGCGAAAGGACAACTGGAGGGGCTAATTAAAGACCTCGAAAAGCTTTCTCTTGTCTTTTGGTTTCTTTGGTTTTGGCCGGGGTGCGTGTTGGTGTATGCAACTTGATTTGTAACTTGAAAACTTACACGTTACCAAGGTGTTGCTTGGGGCGGAATGTGCTTATGGAATGCTTTGTTCTTGGCTTTGGTAGAACTCTGCAAAATGCAAATAAAATTAATGTTATAATAATGTTTATTTGAAATTTGACCATTGAAGCTGTAGTCAGCAAGCGCATAACCTGGGATATCCAATCAGATCATTTCATAGTGTTCCTGTTCCCACCTAAAAGCTTTGACTTCATCCAATAACAATAGATGATAAATATGAATATGATTTCATATTTTTCTTATTCTCAATCAATAAGACAATACATGGTAAATATGAATATGATTTAATATTTTTCCTCATCAAGTCATTTAAATTGAATTTGTATTTCTAGATCGTAAGTTGCATAGTAACAGCCCTATAATTAAAATAACTATAATAAATAAAAGAGTGAACAAATATAAATTGATGTGGTATAAAATAAATAAAAGAGTGAATATAAAAAGTTAATCTTATCATATTTAGTTTTCATTTATTTTGTGACACATGAATTTATACACAAATATTTGTAAAACTGGTATGTTTTGTAAAACTGGTATGTATAAGTATTATTATTTAAAAAAAAAAAAGAAAAAAAAAGCCGCAAGACGATGAATAATTTAACACGTTACTGCATAATAATATTTTAGACAACCACTACTCTGGCTCTTTCGCAGAAGGCAAGAGATTTTCAAAAGGAAAAAGAGATCAAAGTAGACGCGTTCATTTTTGCAGCGTAGAGAGAAAGAAAGCACGTAGGATGAAGTCAAGCATGATCCTTCTTCTCTCTTTTCTTTCTTTTAATCCCAGGAACTATCTCATTCGTTCTTCATCTTAAGCTTCTTATCATAATCAAGTTGCTAGCTTTCATTATAAAAACATAATCTTTGTGTGCAAGAGACCCGGTTTGAAATATCACACCTAAATCTTTCGACCTTTCATTCTCTTCTCAATCCCTCCAGCCTGTTAATACTTTGTTTCTAATCTAATGTTTAAGGTAACTTTCAACATAAAATTCTTTTCTTTCGATAAATTTCTCTTTATTTGATTGCTTAGTTTTCTTCAGTTGTGAAATTTTTATAATTTCGTTTCGGGTATAGTCTTAAACTCTTTTTGATCAGAAGGGTTAGGCGTCTCGTTTGGAGTATTCAAATGGAAACCTCACCTATAACTACTCCTGATCCCTACGTGGATCCTTCTTCATCTCTAACTAACAACACGGCTACAACCTCTACCTCTAATACTAGTAATAATAATTCTACCAGCTATGGGGTTTTGCTAAACTTGTTTCACTCACCATTATCTCTTCTACTCGAATATTCCCGTGTGGTTTCGGCCACTTCTATCTCTGCCCATCAAGATTCTTACCCTGTTGGTGATATTCAGACCCAGTCGCCCAATTCCATTGACAATCTAAGCAGTGTGAGTCCTGGGGAGGTTTCAATTCAGATAATTAGACCGGAGAATGCTGAAACCGAAACCACAGAGGCAGTGTTGGAAAATGAGCAGGCAAATCCATTAGGGGCTGGGGAAACGCTTCCATTGGTGCCTCCTTCAGTTGAAGGTAATACTTCTCGTGATAATTCTTACCGAAGTTATGATATTCAGCAGCTTGCTCGGTGGGTCGAACAAGTTCTTCCATTTTCATTACTCTTGCTGGTTGTCTTCATTCGACAGCATTTGCAAGGTATTAGTTCTCATTATCCATCTTTTACATGTTGTTTATGTTATTATTACTGTTCAATTTCACAAGCTGAGAAGGAATGTGTGTGCTTCGGGAAATTATATATGATGCTCATTTCCAATCCATAACAAAAGCATTTAGGTTTTGTTTCTAATTGTTTTCTAGTTAGTACTTAAATGCCAAACGAGATGAAAAGAGAAATAAATCTCGGAGAAAAGATTCATAAAGTACTTTTTTCTCCTTATCTTTTTGTAAGTATTGAACTTAAGATTATTGCCTTCAACCAAAGAACACCAACATTAAGTGATATATCAATAGCCTTTGTTTTCAGTTATCTGTTTTTCTTTAGTATTTTCTTGTGTTTCTCATTTTAAGTCTTTGGATAAAATTTTGATTTAGTGCAAAATTTCTTTTTGGGAGGACTTGCAGGCTTTTTCGTTACAGTTTGGATTACAGTAATGATTTTTAAGTCGAATGATATCCTTCGAAAGCAGACTGCTTTAAAGGTGCTTCCATGTCTTCCAATTTTTAAAGCTCCTTACTTGAATTCATTTCCAACCCTTATTTTCCCACAGTGAAGAACAGGAAAATCTAATTTCTTGTTGGTTTCTGCAGGGAGAGAGGAAAAACTCTGTTCTCATCGTAATCTCTATCGGTTTTATGCTTCATGTGGTTGGAATTTACTGGTGGTTTCGACATGATGATCTTTTATATCCATTGGTCTTGATTCCTCCGAAAACAATTCCACCTTTCTGGCATGCTATATTCATCATCCTAGTGAATGGTATGAATTTAACTATTCATGTGTTTATTGTTATTGTTTGCAGTGATAGAATATATACAGTAAATATTTTGGATGTCCTTTAACCATGTTGGAACACTAAAGTAAATGTTGTTAATAAAGTTTTAGTGGTGGTTATAATTTGGTTCAGTATCCTTTTCAAGAGAATATATATTAATTTTCGGTTGACCAAAATGTGTGCAGTTTTCTATGAGATTCCATGTTCGCTCTTATTAGTTTGTTCAATTTGTTGTTAGTATTGCTTGTCATGTCATATATGCCTTAATCACATTAGCCTTCTTTATCTTTCATTGTTGAAATCTTGAATGCTGACTTGTTGGTAATATTTTATCGCTTCTAGATGCAATGGTGAGGCAGGCAGCAATGGCTCTTAAGTGTCTACTACTAATTTATTATAAGAGTGGCAGAGGCCATAATTTCCGCCGGCAGGTAATGCAATTCCAGGCATAATAAAATTACTTTCAGATATAATTTGGAACTGCAAATATCTTTTTCAAATTTTCAGAACTCTCTGACAGTTTGCATTTTGTTTTTCAGGGTCAAATTCTAACTTTGATCGAGTATGCTCTGCTGTTTTACCGTGCACTGTTGCCAGCACCGGTCTGGTACCGATTTTTCTTGAACAAAGATTATGGAAGCCTCTTTTCATCATTGACCACAGGGCTGTATTTAACTTTCAAGCTTACCACCATTGTTGAGAAGGTAGAGTCGTAGGCTTTCATCTGTCAATGTTTGCATTTATCTTTACAGCTTTCATATTCTCTTGGTTCTCTTAGAAATACTTCATAGGGATTAGATTAGATTGACCGGGGTGTTAGTCCTGACACTTTTAGTTTCTTGCCAGATGCAATCTCTCTTTGCTGCCTTAAGGGCATTGTCAAGGAAGGAAGTTCATTATGGGTCTTATGCTACAATGGAACAGGTACAATTGTGTAGTTTTACTTATTTTCTGAAAAGCTTTTTGATTGATCGTTTCATTGTATTTTCTGTCAAATTAAACTGTAATCTATGTTTTTTGTTGCGATGATTGCATTATATAGCGTGAGGTCCTGCTGCAATGATTGCATTATTTAAATTAATGGACCAAACTGGTATTTCTTTTTATGGTAGAAAATCAGTGAATGGTGATGGTTTGTGATAGGAAGTAATGAGGGATACAACAACTTCATGATGCATGATTGCAACAGTAGCTTAATAACTTGTTAAGGGAAAATTCAACGGGCTTGGTGTGGTGGAGTTTTGCTAATTATGTCCTTTCTTTTACGGAGTTGAAACTAACTTAAGCCTTGTCCCTTGGGGTTCCTGCACAACTCAACCTGCTTATACTAGTTCTTTCTTGATCTAGGAGATTGGTGTTTTCAATGTCAGGTCAGATTTCATGAGTGTTCCATATTTCTTGATAGAGACTTGTTGCATATGGTGGAGACATAGGTTACATATATCACTTTAGGAACAGTGGGTAACTGTTTTCGGGTTTCATGTTTCTTATATACTTGTCAACATTTCACATGTTCAGTTGTTACCTTTTTGCAAATTATGTATATGTGATAGTATTTTGTAACGTGAATGTTGATCTTCATAAGTGAGTTATTTTTCTCCTCATTAAATAATCTGCTCATTCTGAAGTCTGAACTCTAGATGATCTAATGCAGGTAAATGCAGCTGGAGACCTCTGTGCAATTTGCCAAGAGAAGATGCATGTTCCTGTTTTATTGCGATGTAAACACATATTTTGCGAGGACTGTGTTTCTGAATGGTAAGTTTGTAATCTTGTGTTTTACACTTAATATTTCAATGGCTACATTGTTAAAGTTGGATGGTGTAGGTTTTGTTTGATTGTGCATTCTTCCTTTGTATGCCTCCGAGAAACTTGCTCTTAAATGACCCAACTACTACTTTTTGGACCTAATATACTGTGTATATAGTGGTGAGTGGCAAGAGAGAAATGATAAACATAATATGTTGTTCATGGATGCTTTATTATTTATTCATATGTTAGGTTTAAACTTACGCATTGGATCATGCAATAAGATTTTTGTGAATTGGATTTTAAGGTATAGTTAAATTGAACTTATGAGGTTCAAATGCCTTATAATTCCAATCTGCCAAAATCTTCACTCCTGGGAACATAATTGGAGAGGAAATCCAGAAACACTGGTGATCACTCGTGAAGAACTTGTGTTTTGTAATTGATCAGAACCTTCAATTAATAAGAATTATTGCCCCTATTATAAAGGAAGTCTAGTATATCATTGTCAACTGGTTAGTAACTTCGATTTTTCTCCGACCATTATATACTGAAATTTTATTTATGCTAGCTTGTGAAGGCCATTTTCTGCTGCATCAAGCTTAGAAGGTTTCTGTGAGTAGGGGGCATACATAAACTATGTAGAGTGTACAATTACCATAATAAGTCTCATTTGTTGACCATCTGATGATTATATTTCAGGTTGGAGAGAGAAAGAACTTGCCCTCTCTGCAGGGCTTTGGTTAAAGCTGCAGACTTACGATCATTCGGGGATGGATCAACAAGCTTGTTGTTCCAGTTATTCTAATTAGTTTGAGTGACTGAGAATGCTCTTAACAAAGGTTTCGTCCCTGTTCTTGCATAGGCAAATGGCGGATGTATATTAATTAGAATCTGTTCCTGGACTGCCCAGAAAGGCCAGTGGATTGGAAGGTATCTCCAAAATCAGAAGAAGTGACATGCTCATGTGTTATGTTCCCTGAGTTGTAATCAATACCTTTGTCTTTTTTAATTATACGGAATCAAAGGAAAAAATATGACCCTTGCTGCATTTATACATGTTAAGTTTTCTAAAAGAAAAAAGCTTTTCCGATTAGTAGACGTATTTTGTGCTCTCTTTATTTCATCCAATGCATTTCTATGTGTTGAAGTGGATGCCCGTTTAGATGAGGAAAGAAATGGTTTTCATGGGTTCAGTGAAAATAGTTTGTATATATTTCATGTCATATCTAAAAAATGCATAGTACTGAACATTATTGGTTAGACAGCTAATTGAATATTTATCTCATAAATGAGAGAAGTGCTAAGCTTGTATGGAAAACAGGATGGTGATGGACATTAATATGTTGCCTAGAGTGGAGTGAACACCCATTTCTTCCATCAATGAGCATTTATCCATCACCATATCATGATATTTCTAAAATATCAATTATCATGAATGAGGATGTCGTTAAAATGGGTTGGGGTTGAGGTGGACATTTATATGAAACTTTGAGTTTACAAGTAAGCAACGAGGAGTCAGAAAAATAATGATGGCCGACAATGCACAGTAACAAGTCACCAAAGATTGGGATTGGGATTGGGATTGGGCGCATCCCAAGAATTCTTGTATTGCATTATGGGCTTCAATATGGCGTTGACCCTTTTCTATTTCCATTATTTGCTATCTTTAGATTGGAATTGGACATCTCTATTTGCGTTATGTATGTTGTATCTGGATGGTAGAAAGCAGCAAAACAATTACATCTCCACACATAGACCTGCATTCGATAAGATAAACTAATGTTGCAATAATATTTTAATCGAATTTTCAATTATGAATCCATGTAAATATCTTCTAGCAAAGGAAGTAAAAAATTTGAGTTGGAAGATGAAATGATGAAAGTCCAGCTAGGTAGCTTAGCTAGTTCTGATATAGTTTGCAGCTAGGGTTTTGACTGCGTGTTGACCATCAAATTGCATGATCTTCACAGGGTGATGAGATGAGATGAGATGAAATGATGCTTTTATTACAAAAGTAGTTTCTTTTTTATATATGAGGAGAGGATGATGATATTTGATGGCAGAAAAAGACTGATATACACTGCACCTAGTGGTCTCCACAAAAGCACTCTCTATGATTCAGAGCGCTACAGTCAACAAAAACTTATTGAAGTTCTTTCTGGCAATTCTCAGAGCTTTACAGAAATAAGCGGCCACTCCTACTAAAACTGTTCTCCACCGAGCCATTCTTTTCATTTCTATTTCTAAATTTTTTACTATCATATTCACAGTACCATGTAACTAAATAAAACATCATCTATCTTCAGGATTTTCACACCTTAAAGTTAAAAGGACTCTAACTGTACCCACATAAAAATAAAATCGATGTCCTAATGCTACCTCTTCTGCTGTAAACGCTCAAACATCCTATGACTAATAGCTGCAACATTGTGCCACTAAACGCTAGATTTAGGAATCACCTTAACACATATATGTATAATGTAATCAAGCAAATGATAATTAAAAAGGAGGCTTCAATATATAAATTCAAAACTCATAAGAATACCGCATTATTAGATACTATTTTCTATATGTGAAAAAAATTAAATCCCAAACAAATAATTAGATATTAATACAATCTGTGAATGAGAGTAAAATAAATATGATAATAAAAATTGATTTATTACAATAAAATAAGAGAATTGTGTGTACATGGAAAAGACAATGGAACCGACGATGTACTGTATATAGGTTTTACAAGAATACAAAATTAAACAAAAATCAAATCAATCTATGTCTAGCAAGTAGTAATGGCTATTAATTATAACAGATGAGAGAGATAACAGTTTCATCATTCTTAGAAAAAGAGCTAAGACAATACTGTTAATGGCTGATTCATCATCCATGTGAGAGAAGTATATATAATTTAATTTATAAGGTAAAAATTTCTGTAGATATTAAACAAGGACTGGTTATGGTTGTCAACTTGTCATTAAGGAATACTTCACTGTAATGAACATATGTGGGTGTCTGTGAATTTTATGGTGGTGTTCTGTACACAAATATATACAAAGAACATAGAGTACTGGAGTGGAATATATTCTTTATACAGTCACTGTAGATTTGTAGTTCCCACATGGTCAAAGTAGCCTCGATCTAGTTTGTTACTCACTCACTGCGTATTAATTGTGAAGTGGACACTTTGAGAGATGCAGATCGAGATAGAATTATATTACATTTACTTACTTCATTGCCTTCTTCTTTCTTTGTATCGTCTGTTACAAATTAAATCCCCTGAAGACAGAGAAACAAAGCTTCTCTCTCTTAGATTTGTTAAGATCTAGAGTCGCTTTCCTGTCTCTGACTCTCATGACGACAATGACCCATCATCTGCCCTTTCCTTTGCCAAAGAAATCCAATTTCTCTTCCTTATTTTGTGCAACTCCCTTTTCCCTTCTTTATTACCTTTCTTCTACTTATATTTCTTCATTTATACTCCCCTTTCTTTCACCTTTTCTTATACTCATACTCATACTCATACTACTACTCCTCCTCTCTTTCTTTTGCCCACTTGCCTTAATTATCATCTCAGAATTAGGGTTTTAACTACTACTACATTGCTTGAGAGATTTAGGGTTTCAGTTTATGGAGACTCTCACACCTCTATGACTATTAGCAGTTAAGTTGAATCGTATTTTCTTCTGTGTGTCATTTTAATTTCTTATTAATGTGATTCATGATTAGATCATATTACCCCTTTACTTTATGTTGAGTTACATGAAAAAGTAAAAGGGTTTTCCACCATTGCTGGTCAAAGTTCTTAGTGATACTGGATGTTTAAACTCAGGATTCTTCTTGTATTGGTAAATATTCTGAAGAGATCTCATCATTTCATGTGATATATAGCTAGTTATAGGTTACACGTTTCTCTTCACTACTTTTTCCTTTTGATTCTAAGCTCAAATTTTGAGGAATATTTCTACTTTTGAAATTTTTATTCTGAAAGAAATCCCCAAAATGCATACTCTCTATTATTAGTTTGTTTAGTGATTGCTTTCATTTTGTTCATCAGCTCTTGATAAAAGTCCGGGTCCAGTGTCTTTGAATGAGAAACCACTGTACTGTAAATTTATAGCCTTTTTGCTTTCCTTTTGAGTTACCATGTCAAGTACGTAGTAATTGACAATTATTTGATGGCATTTTACTTTAGCTGATTGGATTTTCAATTCAAATCATCCAAGAAATTGGACTGTTTGTCATATAGTATATGTAACTGTACTCTTTTTGCATCTCCTGTTGATCTTATTTGACATAATTAGACTACTTCAAATAGACTGGGTAGTTAAGTCCTTCATCTGTGACTATGAAAGAGTACTTTTTCTTTTGAGAATGAAGATTTTATTTTATAATTTTCTTGTGTATGAGTGATAGAGGCATTGTGTTGTGATATTTGATTATGTATGGTTTAGAAAAGAGTTAGTGGTTGCATGCAGAAATGGTGTGAGAGAGCTTCCTTCAGCCCACTCATGGATGGGATTAAGGGATTCAACTAGCTGCCGACTCATTCATTCAAGCACTCAGTAGACAATGGATTTGTTATTTTGCTACTGTGATTGTGTGAATGATGCGGGAGATAATTTTGCTCCCTTTTTTTCTGTGCTTGGACTGAAGGGAGCTCCTTCTTTCTGTTGCCTTCATTTTTACAATTTCTCTACACAGGTAAATTGAATTAAACAAATGCTCTCAAACTGCTTCTTTATTTTGATAATGGGACATCTTGATCGGTTTATTATCTTCTCTCATCATTACTTGCCTGAAACTGAAACTCTACTACACTGTAAGTAATTTTTTTATATCAGTTCTCTACTTGCATTGGCACTTTTTTTGTTACTTAACTTGAATTCATCCAAAACGAGGAGCATGTACAAGTTCGTTCCACCCGGATCTTCCTTCTTATTGAAAATGAAGGCCTTTAGTCTGCCTCCGAGGATCCATTTAATGCTTGTTGAGAGGCAGACAAGAAAGTAAACTTTGCCTTGGGCTTCTTTAACCTTTAGATTTGCATTTAACTTTCATTTTGGTTATTGTGAGCTCCTCCAAACCAGATAGTGCTGTCAGATTAGATTTTGAAACCATATGGGAAACTGTTCATCCAAAAAAGTAGCTTATCAACGCTGATTGGTGTTGTTTAGTTACAATATTGCAGAAGTGTTGTTCCGAATCCATTCTATGTACATTTCCCAGAGAAATATATGTGTGTATGGTATCTAATTCAAACAAAAATTATGCAATGAGCACAATTATGTCGGCCTTTTTTTCTGGTATCTTGAATGGTGTCACACATACACGTTATGCATAGGTATGGTAGGGTTTTCAACTTTTTCTTCTCTATCTGCAGGCATTTAGATATTAAATGTTTGGTTTCAAAAGTTGCTGAAACTGCATATTTTTAGTAACAACTAGTGAAGTGTGTATCAAGTACAGAGAAAAGCATAAAATATGTGGAATTGAGTTGAATGTTTTTGTTGATCGAGAGAGGAAATAGGCATGAATCCACTTTCTTTTCATATGAAAGTGTGCCCATGTTAGCTAGCTAGCATGTAGTTTAAATAATAATTGTTGGAATATTCAACTTCTTGGAGAAGGGTAAGTTAGCGTAATGAAGAATGAGATTGGAGGGAGGATATTGGGGGTTGTGTTATGTTTGCTAAATATGGATGAGAGCAACATCTGAGCTAAGTACCTGTTTTGGAAATCAACATGACTTTGAAGAAGAAACTACTGCTACATCTACTTTCATCTTGGAGTTATAATCCTATTCCTATAGCCTAGTCCCTCTTTTGGCTAAATAGCAATTAATAGATTCATTCTTGGTATTGATTTAACTTGGTCCCCACTGGAAAAAGCAAGTAACTTTCAGTCTAATCTAACTCCATTCCACCTTATTGAATATATAAATGTCAAAAGGGCTTCATCACCAGCTGCCAAAATCGCAAGTTTTTAGATACGTTTGTCGGCAATATAAATTGGTCCTCTCATATGTAACCAAACCAGCAGCAAGATATTCAGTGTGTGGCTTCACTTCCGTTTTCATTTACATAATATAATACCAAATCCAAAATGGCTGTTTCTCATCTCACTAAAGAAATAGGACTTGGACCTGGTGGGTTTTTCTTTGCCATAATAGAAAAGCAGGAATTTACGTTAAATGGGGAAGTCAAATGAAAGATCTGTAACTCTGATAAAGGTATCAAAATCTATTGCTACATCTTCTACACATAATGCTTGTATATATAATCAGTTAATCATATGATTCATTATATTATAATAGTAATACGATCTCATGAACTTTTTTTATTAATTTTTTTTCATAATTCTGATACGATAATTTATGATTGATTAACTTGTAAATAGATAATAGAACTCATAATGAGTAAACATATCTATTTGCAGTTGATTAATCATGAGTTGTGAGAAAAAGTTCGGATTGATATCATAAGCTTAAATCCACAATCACAGACGAAAATGTACCTTTATAGGCATTAGTTTTTGGTTTCAAATCAAGTCTCCATATATCTATTCATATACATAGAAATAGAAATAGAAATAGATGGAAGGTTGCCAAGTGGACCAATGGAGAAGAGTTAATAAATAATCAAAATACATTAAAGTCCAGTAGTTGTCTCTTTCCTTTTGTTGTGTCCGTCTGACTCTCTCCCTCTTTCTCTCTCGTCTGCGTGTTGGGCGATTGGGTCTCTCAGATCTCTCTTATTTTTCACTTCCTCTCGAACACCATCGAAGACGAGAGATGATTATCAATCCAACATCTTAAGGTTAGTTTTTCATTCCATTTATATTATATGTATGTATATCCCATCGCAAATTTCTTATTTACTTGTATGATTCTCTTCTCTATATGAATACGCTATGTCATACATGTTAACACCCTTTAAATGATTTTTTTATTCATATGCTTCATCTGGGTCCCTCACTTTTATGTTGTTTTTGTCAAATATCCGAGGAATTTGTGTTCATTGTATGACTTATTACAATTAGTAGGAATTCTGATAGGTTCAGGTCAAAATATTTCGTCTTTCAGCTGTGTAATATTCATCAATTTTTGGTTTCAAGCATCATCCACATATGTATTTTGTTATGTGTTGTGCCAGATATATGCCATGGTTTCCTTTGGTTTTTGATTGGTTCAAGTGGGTGCTGATGACTGTATCCTCATCCTACATGAGTTCAACCATTTCAACATCTCGAGGAACCCTTCAACAAACAATGCTTAGCCCCTGTGAATCCCCCAATCATGGCCCTTCTGCTTCTTTTCGCCCGCCTCACCCAGACTTTAATGATGTTGATGAAATAGACTTAATATCTGTCTCCTGGAATCAGGACTATGGTTGCTTTGCTGCTGGAACAAGTTCTGGCTTTCGTATTTTTAACTGTGAGCCTTTTAAGGAAACATTTCGACGTGATTTGAAAAGTGGGGGATTTAAAATTGTTGAGATGCTGTTTCGCTGCAATATTCTGGCACTTGTTGGTGCTGGGGGTAATTCCCACTATCCGCCCAATAAAGTTATCATTTGGGATGATCATCAGAGCAGGTGCATTGGTGAATTTGCATTTAGATCTGATGTACGTGCAGTGAAATTGAGACGGGATCGCATCATCGTTGTTCTTGAGCATAAGATATATGTTTACAGTTTTATAGATCTGAAGCTTATTCATCAGATTGAGACTCTTGCAAATCCAAGGGGACTTTGTTCCCTTTCTCACCATTCAAGTACATCTGTGTTAGCATGCCCAGGTCTCCAACGAGGGCAGGTTCGAGTTGAGCACTTTGGGCTCAATATGATAAAGTTAATTAATGCTCATGATTCAAATATTGCGTGCATCACCTTGACAGTGGATGGCCTGCTTCTTGCAACTGCTAGTATAAGAGGCACTTTGATAAGAATTTTCAACACAGTGGATGGTACTCGCTTGCAAGAGGTAACCCTCGGACTGTTGTCATTGGTCTTTAAATAGTAAAGCAGATCAATAAATTTATGATTCTTGTGAGGTACTTGGGCTTATTGTTTGATCAATTGTTGAAATTCAATTAGATTTATTATTGGAAGGTGTAACATCTTTGCAATGTATTAAGATAGAATATAAAAAATGAAAGTTGGCTTGCACTGTTCATGAAATCTAAATTGCTATTTTTCTTTTTTAATTCATAACTTGTTGAAACAGTTTGGATTTATAGTATCTGCTTCCATGTAGGTTCGAAGAGGTGTGGACAGAGCGGAGATTTACAATATTACGCTTTCTCCTAATGTCCAATGGTTAGCCGTGTCAAGTGACAAAGGTACTGTTCATATATTCAGTCTCAGAGTTCGAGTGGTTGGGGAGGACTCATCCTCTCATCTTACTCCTGGTCAGAGTCCAGCACTTTTTAACCAAACTTCTTCAACACCAATCGATGCCCTTATATCTCCAAGCTCTGGTGCCAACCCTAGTTCATCATTGTCATTTATGAGAGGTAAGATTTATCTATTAATAAATGGTTATATAATTTATTCTTTTTGCTTTTTCTTTAAACTGAAGATGAATTAACCAAAACACTATGGCAATGGTAATCTGCATTGGTAATTACCAGTAAGTTATGATGTTGGACAAAGTTCATTCTCTGGCTTCCTTATATAAAAATGCCTAGAAATAGAAATTTTGATATATATATTCTGAAATATTAAAGTCCATGAAACCTGCAATATAGATGTCGTGCTAGGTTGCAGAAACTTGATAGAAGAATTTAACATTTAAAAGCTTGGTTTTAGAAATGTCTGGTGTTTCCAAAACTTCACATATTTTTTACTTCTAGCAGGAGTCTTACCAAAATATTTTAGCTCAGAGTGGTCATTTGCTCAGTTCCACTTACCAGAAGACACCCAATTCATTGCAGCATTTGGATCTCAAAATACTGTGATTATTGTTGGCATGGATGGAAGGTATGTGATCATCTTCAAAACAGCTGTCTGCTGTTGTTATTGTTGTGGGGTGACATTTGTGTTCCTTTGTAGCTGGGGATAATGAAAATTGTTTAGTTATGAAACATGATAAAGGAGTTGCTTTGCATGCCTGATCAAAGCTGATACTAACAAAACTTTCGCTCAGAGAAAAAGAAAAAAAAAAAAAAAAACGGAAAGACTTGTTCCTAAAAGCATTACGTTCTAGGATGACACAGTTATAAAATGAATTTCACCTTTTCCACAGTAGGTTTTTCAGATGGGCATGTGATTCAAATGTTGTAATTTACCTTCGTTTTACCTTTTTCCAAGATCAAATTTTATAATGCGTCATGAATTATTTGATATCATTCTTCTCACACATACTTTTACTTTTTCCCATTTTCAGTTTCTATAGGTGCAGTTTTGATCCGGTGAACGGTGGGCAGATGCTGCAACAGGAATATGTGCACTTTCTGAAAACAGACAGCCGGCCTAGATAGGGTCCAGAGTATATCTCCTCACCGTGTGTAAATATGGAACCAGAATTTCCTGGCAGTGGTATATAACTACATATAATACAAATTAAAATCTTGCATAAAATTGCTTCTTACTGTATATCCCATTAGAAATTGAGATGCCAACTACATATGAATGATAATAAATTGCTTCTGGTGGAAAATATGGTCTGCGTAAATATATTGTTATATTTATTTGTTATGCTTTTATATTCTGTCAAGACAGAGCCACGGACTTTTGCAGAGTCGATAATCTGTATTCACGATTCTCCCATTTAATTCATAATGCAAACTTTTGAAGGATTACTCTGGTGGGTTTGAGCAATAAATTAAAATTGTGTAAAGTTAAAAGAGCATTAGGTTCCTGTAGTGGTGGAACAGTAACTTGCCCGGCTGCAGCCCCCAATTTTGGGGGATTGGCTAGCCCAACCTGACTCGCCAATCCTAACCCGTCGGGTTAGGTTACGGGTCGAGTTGGGTTAACCTCCTTTTGTGATTTTTTTTGTTTTGTTTTGTTTAATTAACTTTTCAAATGAATATTTAACAATTTATAAATGAATAAATGTAATTGTTTTTAGTTAATTTTTTTTCAAATATCAATAATTAAATTAAATTAAATTTTTTTTTGTTAACATTTTAAATATTAATTCAATTTTAATACATTAAAATTACAATATAAGAAAAATTAAATTTATTCATTTATCAAAAAATAAAATAAGAAATTACAATAATTATTGTCTCGTTAAAAACCTCATCAAGAAAAACCTAATGGGACAAAAACTTGGTAAGAAAAAAGAGTGCAATAATTTACAAGTTACAATTTACAAAACAACTAATTTTGGGATTGACTAAGAACTCCCTCGTCGTATCATCTATATTACAAAATTAAAATGATTCTATTAAAGTATTGTTGACAACCTCTGTTATGCCTAAAAAGTCACGCCTATGTCAGCTCATTTAATGTCTTCTTGTACCAGCTGCCAAACCCATATCTCTAAAGATATTCTCACCAACTATATCTCCTTTCAAGAGATGAATGGACGAGAGTCTTCCATGTGTCAAGTCAACTTGCAAAACACTCATTACATTGAGTGTTTTGGTGAATAAATGAGCATTTCTCTTCACGAAGAAGGGGCTGGAGGCTGGGCTGAGATTTGAGCTTCATTTTCATTCTCTCTTTGTAAACACTATATTTCTTCATCTTTGTACACCTTATGGGCAAAATCATAGAAATAGTCAGAAATCAATAAAATAACAGTGGATGTAGGAGTCGCTTGTTGCATCCAAACCACTATAAAAACCCCCTCTTGCCAATCTTTTATTTATTTTTCTGCAAAATATATAATCCCAGCTTCATATTCAAATCTCATGTATCCATCACGTGTGTCTCCTAAGTTAGCTCAGCGTTTCCTACGTGCGAGTAGTTGGCGTCCAAAATCAAGCGTTAACAACCTCGTATTGATCTTGATGGCGTGACCGTTCCCAATCTCGAAGACATATGAGGACTTCAGTCATTTTTTGTGAAAGTTTAGTCCTCCTTTCATTTAAAATTCTTCCATTTGCACTAAATGTTTGTTCGGATGAGACGGTTGAGACAGGATTAGCAAAAACATCCAAGGCAAGTCTTGATAATACTAGAAAAATATATTTTCTGGTTTTCCAATATTCCAAGGCATCAAAGTTGGCTCTTTGTTGTGGATCTGTTGGTAACATTTCGGGAGTTCCCAAATATTGTTGAAGCTCATTACTCTGTGACTGTATGACGGACAGTATATTCGTTGTTGCCGTTGGTGCTTCTAAAGAGGAGGTTGTGCCTGTGTCTCGGGTTCAGTTCCTCTTCGGCCTATTAAATGCACTCCAGGTGTAGAAGTCTTCATTTGTGTCTTCTGATGCAACTTCCTTGTGTATTTCGTGTCTTTACGGGTTCCCATACCTGTTTTCATATTGGAAATATACCTCTACAAGACAATTTTTTACCTCTCCTATTTGATTGACAAATGCTACGTTTTGTAAATTTTCAGTTAATGTCTCTAAACCATTTTCTAAACCTTCTTATTTAATTCTAGAATCAAATATGTCACCTAAATAATAAAGAAAATGAATGGGTTTAAAATATTTAAAAAAAAAAAATTCTCATTACCTTTATTGGTTCTTTTAAAATTTCATTGTTTTTGTTTTCTTGTAAATAACTCTAAAATTTTTATAATTGTATGTATTACCAATGAACTAGTATGATAATACACAGTAAAAAGTTGTAAAGTGGATTGGAAAAAAATTTTAAGGAAAGAATGAAATACTTTAGCTATTTGCCAATCATTTTCTACCAAATAATGAGGACCTCTATTATTTGCTACAAAATAACTAATTAAATTAGCATAAGGTAAACATGAATCAAGCATTAAATAAGTATTATTCTATCTAACAGGCATGTCTAATGCAAAAGTTCTAGGATACATATTTGATTTTATACAAGCATCTTGAAATTCAACTTTTTTTTTATTACTACCAGTAATCCAAGCTAAACAATCTCTAATTCTATCAATATTTTCTTTAATTGTTTTCATACCACTTTTTACAATTAAATTAATAATGTGATATGCACAACGTTGGTGAAAAAACTTCAAATTGTTATAAAATGGATAATTACTTTGAAAAAAATCTATAACAGTAGTATTAACACTTGCATTATCTAAAGTTAAACTTATCACTTTAGTAACAATATCATAATCTTCTAAAACTTCAACAATTTTATTATAAATTTGTTGACCACTATGATCTACATCCATTAATCTAAATCCTAATAAAGATTTATTTAATTTACATTCGTTATCAAAATAATGACTAGTCACACAAATATAATCTTGTTTAGCTTTACCACTCCAAATATCGGCAGTTAGAGTCACACTAATATGACAAGTATATATTTTATTTTTTAATTCTAATTTCATTTTCTTATTTTATTAAATCATTTCTAGTTGCAATTTTAAAATAACTTTTAAATCCTGGAAAAAAAATGAATTTTTAATAAATCTTTCAAAATATTTATCTTCAGCCATATTAATAGATTGATCAGTTACAAAAATATATAAAGCTAATTATTCACTATATACATAAGAATTATAATGCCAAGTAGTACCCATATTAGTTATTTGAGTTTGATTGGTTTCTCTATTTCCATGTTGAGCAATATGTTTATTAGCATGTATTTTTAAAGTACTAGTACCATTACCTGAATCAGCTTTATAAACATTTCCACAATACTTGCATCTTGTTTTCTTCACTTGAACTCCATTTTCCACCTCATAAAACTTATTGAAATACGTTCAAACGTCTGATGTATGTCTGTCATCGCTTTCGACAGCAGTTGATGAACCCGCTTCAGCTTGAGATGAAGTTGGACGAGGATGACTTTTAGAACCACCGGGAGCTGTAAGTGTAGCAGTATGGGGAGGAATTGGGTACATATTTTGAGGTGTATCGGATTCTGAGACTGGGAAAGCGAGACTATTTGAATCTCCTCCTGCATTCATGTTAGTAAATTCAGCAGGACTAGGACTAGGATAGTAGTTTCCTTCCTCATTGAAATCAATAGAAGAGAAATATCTATCCATTGTACTTGAAAAAAAAAATTGATATAGAAGAAATAAAAAATTAAAGAAGGAGAATTGGAATATGGAAAATTGGAAATATGAATTGAAAATTGCAAAAACTAATAAAAATTAAAATAAGAGCAAATTGATAACAAAGAGATTAAGAGAATAATTGAGAGATTTCAATAAAGATTAGAGATTAGAGAGAATGAGAGAATGAGAGAATTTGAGTTGTGAGAAAATATAAGAGTTTAGGGCGAATTTATAGAAAAAATTGGGAAAATAAAATGACGAAAAAGACCCTCCAACTATTATAAAACGACTATATTTCAAAGGTAAAAGGGAAATTAAAAAAAACAAATAAATTTTAGTGTTTTTTTTTTTTTAATTTTTTTGGGCCAACCTGGTGGGTTAGCTGTTGCAACTCACAGGTCAACACAACAGCCAACCTGCGAGTCAACCCAGCGGGTTGGCGATCCTTTTTTAGAAAGGACAAAATTGCAACCCAGGGTCGCCAGGTTGCCATATAGCAACCCGGCCCGCCCGTGGGTTGTATGCAACCCGACCCGTCATTTTGACGGTCCGGGTTGAACCCTCTTTAATGTGAGCCAGGTTAAGGTTAACCTGCCTAAACCAACCCATTTGTTCCACCTCTAGGTTCCTGTGCATTAATATAATTTGGTGGGATTTAGAGATAATAAATGGAGAAGAGTAATTCTATACCAACAAATCATTTTTATTAACTTTTTCTCACAAACGTGATATATTAGCTTGTAACAGATTCCGTCTGATCAAATACAAGCTAATTAATTGTGACTTATCACGTCGCGTTTATGAGAAAAAGTTGTGAAAAATGTTAATCAATCTATCTTTAAAAAATGCAGAAATATACCACAGACCAAGAATACAATTCCAGTATTAATAAGTGTAGTGCCAGACGCTTTTTTAATGCTGCAAAGCACAACAAAGTACATAGTTTCATGTCATGGGTCCTTCCATTTGCAAAAGAAAACAAGTGTGACAATGGTACAGAAAAATTCTTGGTTTCTATTATTTAACATAAACTGCATGGAAGAACTTGATTTATAACACCCTTGACTTGCATCCTTATGCTTCAAACTATTTATGAATAAAAACCACTATATTTGGTGTAGCTGATGCGAGTCAAAATATTTACACAAGCAAATGAAACATTCTCCATTGCACTCTAATCTGGCTGTGTTCTGATCAACTTAAAGCTTAGACATTACACTTTTCAAGTCATCCAAAGTAATCATCACTTTACCGACTGCTTTCCTATCTTTAATGGCAGAAAACGCAAGCCTGGCCTGTTAAGTACAAGAAATTAAGTATGTGAGATCTATTATACAATAAGAACCATACGTGAGATCTATTATACAATAAGAACCATAGCAACAACTAGTTAAGTCACGTTCTTTATCTATACCAGCTTTAGGAAAATTCAGGAATAACCCAAAACTAGAAACCTGGAAGATCCTGTTTGTGCAAAGCCTTACAAGAAGCTTTATCCAGATTGACCAATAGAGTAGGAGGTCAAAAAAAAAAAAAAAAAA